TGAAATTACTTAAAAAGAGGCAAGGAATATCATAGAATTAAAAAAACTGTCTTTGGCAGAGGAAAACAGGTGGAAGAAAGGCAATCAGGCACACTCATTGCCAGTGAAATTCAGGAATCAGTTCCAGGCTGACCTGTTAGATCATGATCAACAACCACCTGAGCAAATGATATCACATAGAAGATACAATATAGAAGATACATTGGCCTCCATGGATTGAGTCTCCCATAGAATACATGTTATGGTGTGATTCCTTCTTCAAAACAAACCCACACCGCTCAATATAATATTTGAGGAGGTGTATGATTTTCTAGGTGCTTCCATTAAGGACATAATATTCAATATTATATTATATAATATTATCCAAACCCATAGCAACCATTCTTTCTTCTTGATTCATGGTGGAATGAATGATATCCAGGAGGGATCTTTAAAGAATGATCAGAGACTACGAGGCCTTGAAAAGTAAAGTAAAGGAATAGTAGCACATGTAGTTTTTAATTTTTTTTTTTTTGCAATTGAGCATTTTGGTGAAAAAGGAGAAAATTGGATGCTGGGAAACAACAATTACATCAGTGTATACCAAATAACTAAGAAGGGTTTTTATTTTATAATCATGGCTTATATTATCTTTATCTCTGGGAAGAGATGGGCTATATCCAGTGGTGGGTTTCAAAAATTGTTCGAACCTACTCTGTGGCTGTGGCCTCCTTTGTGGGAGTGGCTTGCTGCCCATGTGACTGGATGGGAGTGGCTTGCCGCCCATGTGACCAGATATGAAGATGCTGACGACANTTTTTCCCTTCACAGAGCTGGAGTGGGCATGGCCTGCGTGTGACGCTTGTGGCCCATGAGCCACCAGTTTGACACCCCAGTCTAACAATGTTCAGATAAAGGATCCAAATTAAGGGGGAAAGCACCATAATAGTGGACTTGAGTAATTTTCAGCATAGCTCTCAGTTTTCAATAGAGCTTGGAATTGGAAACTGGAATTGGAAAAACAGAAAATAGTGATCCAATGCTATTAATATGGTCTTATCAGTGTGTTTTAAGGAATTAATAATCTCTCAGGCACTTTTTATAGCATCATAGCCAGTTTGATTTAAGTGCCTTCTCTTTACTGAGATAGTGGAGTTTACATGTTGTATATTATTCCTTCTGCTAGTTATTAATGGCATTTAATCATTTTCATTGTGATTCATATGTTCATACTATTTCTCAGTTTTAAAGGTTTTAATAACTTTTGATATTTTTTTGGTAACTTTGCAACCTACTCAGAGAACTTTGGTTCCATTTCAATTAGAAATGGAATAAATAATGAATATAATAATAAATAATATATCAGAAGAGATTAAATGATATCATAAATAAATAAATAGAACTGCAAGGATGTAGTGCCAAACATCATACATATTTGGAAATAATGTTCCACTCTTAATGTTTATGTTTTTGTTTTTGTTTTGCTAATGATGTATAAACATTATATTCTACAATTTTAAATTTCTACAACCAATTTTGTATAATTGTCAATGTAGGGTATTTATCCCCCTTGTTACTTTGGGTTTACACATAAGTTCTGAAACTATAGCAATAGCAATAGCAATTAGACTTATATACCGCTTCATAGGGCTTTCAGCAAAATCTACTTCTCAAGCTTTCAAAAAATAATGCTAACAATTCTCTAGAGGTATTTTTTTTAGTATGCTGGTTTATGACATACTTGAACAACCATTCATCAGTCACTAAGGACAGTCACTAAAGTATTGAAATTATTATAGTTTCTGACCCTTCAGATGGTCTATTTTTGAGTTGTCTACTAATCTGCTTTTGACTGCTAATCTTGAAATAGTTTGCCATGCTCTGAATCAGAGCACACTGGCTAGGGAATGCTGGGAGTTGAAGTTTACGCTTTGTAACAAGGTCAAGGTTGAGAAGCTCTGATCTAGATATGGGCAATTCTCTGGTTCCACTGATGGTTTTAGACCAGGGCTGTCCAACTTGTGGCCATACCCACACCTGGTTTAGCGAAGGGGAAAAAAGTCATGATGTGTCATATGACGCCACCATGACGATGCGAGTTTGACACCCCTGTTTTATGTATGTATGTATCAGAGGTGGGTTCCTACCGGTTCGCACCTATTCGGTAGAACCGGTTCGTCAAATCTACCGAACCAGTTAGAAGAGGTTCCACCAGTGGACCTGGAAAGCAGGCCACACCTGCAGAAGANACTTTCTACAGTATGTAAAGAAGGAGGATTTGTATGTTTGTTTTGAAAATAAAAATATATTTTTAAAAAATTACATATTGAAAGTATTCCAGGATCCCTCCCCCCACAGACCCAGGCTGAATACTCAATTCCCAGTCCCCATGGGTGTCATGTGGGGTGCATGGCTTCATCCATCTGGTATGCAGGGATGGTTGACCTTAACTAGGCATAAACAAGTTCATTCAGCTGTGCAGTAGACAATGAGAGCAATCTTCCCTCTTCTTCACTAGACATCTCCACTAGCACGCTTCCCCTCCCAAATACCTAAGCCCTCTCCTCCTGTTACTATGGTAGCTGATAGCAATCAAGCAAGATAGAGGCTGACAATGACATTTATTGTGTAGTTTTGTCTTGGATGAAATTGGAGGTATATGTAATCTGTTTACTCTACTGATGCCAATTGTTTCTCGCACTTAATAAATCATTGACCACAAAAACAGACTTAGACAAATAAGGTATAAGAAAATGCAACCCAGCTTGATTTCTTTCTGAGTCTGCCTATGCCGAGTAGGAATCACCTGGGAGACCTCTGATTACATCAGGCAAAGAAAAGACAATCAATTTGAAGTTCCCTCCTCATGCAACGTTTTCCAGCTAAAGGCAACATTACAAAGTGGATATGGCCACATCCAAAAATAGTTTATTCATATATAAAGTGAAAAATAAATCACATCAAAAGTGGAATGTTTTTAAAGTGGGTTTAAAACAGTGGTGGGTTGCTAACCGGTGTACTCATGCTTGCATGCTCACATGTTGAATTTCCCTTACAATCAAGAGGCGGTTTTAGGAGCCATGCTAAATCATTGGGCTGATGCAAAGAGCTGGAGAAACACTGGCTGTCCATCCCGGGGTTTGTTTCTTTCCTTTTGGCTAAAGTGCTGAATAATAGTGATGAGCTTCAGCTTTCAATTTGACTGGCAACATTCAGTTATACTGGCTTGCTGAAAGCTGTGCCTTCACAATTGTGAGTCTAATATGTTTTGGTTGAGAAATAGCATCTCATCTGTAACATTTTTCCATAAAGCAAGCATATTGCTATACATGTACAAAAAGGAGAGAGAAATCTATCTTAATTTTCTGGAAATGATTGCTTCATTATTGAAATGAATGTTATTCGCATGCTGTTCAAACAAATCAGCTAAAAATGTCTCACAAAAACAAGATTACTGATGATTGCACACATGTGTTTTCTTTACCTAAACATTTTATGAGAGAGACAGAGAAGGGGAGGGAGGGAGGGGGGAGAGAGAGAGAGAGAGAGAGAGAAGAAGAAGAAAATTCATGAGTAAAAGCCTAATTTGCTTCAATTAGACAAAGTATTTGGATTCAGGATTTTTGGAAAGATCAGTTGCATCACTTATGTAAAATGTAAAAAAAACAAAAAACTTCAACCAAACTAAAGCAAAGAACTTGCTGTTTCTATTGGTTTAGAGGGAAGGTGGTTTTCTTTCCCACCCCTTTTACTTAATGACTGAGTCAGATGATCAGAAACTTGGGTTTACTTTACTCTGCATTCAATGAGAACCTGTCAATGCCAGAGACTTACTCCTATGGTGAACAGAGGTATCCCCAGCTGGGAAAGTGTTTACCTTTTCCATTTTGCACCACTGGCCTTAATAGGGACAGTAGTAGATGTGAAGTTAAATTTATTTATTAACATTCATAATTTATTTTATGGCTCACAAGCAAAAGTTTAAAAGGCACTGCTGTCTTATGTGATTGCCTAATGACAAAGCAAGAGAAAAGCCAAACCTTTTCTTGGCAGCATATGCTCAAAGTACAGGGCGGGGCATAACCTTTTCCTAGGGGGTCACAGCAACACTTGTAATAACAACACAAATAATTCAT